CGGACATTTCGGGTCCAGAACGTAAAAATCCAGACCAAGGTTTTGTTTCAACCAACCAGTTGAGTACACTGTGACTGTGACTCTTTATTCTCAGCTGGTTGGTTGAAACAAAATCCTTGTCTGGATTTTTAATTTCTGGACCTGAAATGTCCACCTCTGCAACTCAGCAACTCGTCCTCCTGTCCCCGGCGTGGGTGAATGGTTGCCGTGTAGCGTATGTTCTATCGCCACGGCGTTACCATGGCATCACGTGCGGACTGAGGCGAGCCTCCCACTTCTGTATCTCTCCCTCCGCAAAGACCGTCTTCATTAAGCACACATCTGCACTACCTCTTGACATGGAGCCTTATGGGCATTATGGGGTCTGGCAAAGAAACTCCCCTCCTCCCTTTGAAGCTGCAGTAACGACAGAGAGAAGGGAAAAAGCAATAACTTATCTCTGACTTTTTTCCTACCGAAGGTGTTGAGTGGTTCTCAGTAACAAAGAAGGTAACACTATTTTATAAGTGCTTGAGGTGTGGTTGCTGCTGTAGGAACAACTCGCTCTGAATAAACCATTCTGGAATGCATTAACAAGCACAAACAATTCTGCATGCTTAATGAGCAACAAAACAGACAGGAATATTCCTGAATTATATTTCCTTCCTGCCCCAATAATGGCAAACTGTATTCTTCCTCTACCTGTCTCTACTTCCCAGCATCACAGAGCTGTATAAAGTATTTCAAAATTCACTGAAAGCATTTGATTAATAATGTAGGCTGGGGACATTCTGAATAAGGGCTTGTTCAACAATGGCTTCATACCTGCCCAGCTATTAAAATACATCTCAGTTCCTGACATTGCTACATATTTCTCTCCGGGGAGGGAGACAATGAAAAGGCATTAACATTCCAGCATTCAACAAATCATAAGCCGTAATTTCTGACGAATCACAGCAACCACAGATATAAAGCATATCATATACAAAGCATGTTTTAGACACTTTTCTTTAATAATACACTGCATGTCAATTTTATTAATACTTCTTTGCATTTGGCGGGGTCCTCCACCGAAAGCCATTTTTAAAAAAGTTACAAAAAAAAATCATTGCTCAATTTGAATTTGATGTCAGCAACACATTTCAAAAACAATGTTGAGACAGGGGCAACAAAAGACTGGAAAAGGCTGGAAAACAAAACACCTGGTTGAATATCTCATAACTAATTAGGTTAATTGGCAACAGGTTAGTAAGATTGTTGGGTATAAAAAGAGCAGAACCTCCCAGAGAAGTAAAGTCTTTGTCCAGATGGGGAGAGATTGATCACTCTGTCACTCTGTGAAAGAGTGCATGAGCAAATAGTGCAACAATTCAAGACTAATGTTCCTCAATGTAATATTGCAAAGAATTTGCGAACTTCATCATCTATGGTACATAATATCATTAAAAGATTGAAAGAATGTATGCAAGGAACAAACCAGTATTGGATAGCAGTGATCTTCAGGTACTCAGGCTGCACTGCATTAAAAACAGACACGGTTCTATAGGGGAAATCACTGCATGGGCTCAGGAACACTTCCAAAAACCACTGACTGTGAACACAGTTCGTTGCTTCGTCCACAAATGCAGGATGAAACTCTACCATACAAAGAAGACACCATATCTAATCACGATCCAGGAACACCACCGACGTCTCTGGGCCCGAGCTCATTTAAGATGGGACTGAGGCGAAATGGAAAACTGTCCTGTGATCTGATGAATCAAAATTTCTAATTCTTTTTGGAAATCATGGACGCTCCATTCTCCGGGCTAAAGAGGAGAAGGACCATCCAGTTAGTTATTAGCAGACGGTTCAAAAGCCAGAATCCGTGATGGTATGGGGGTGTATTAGTGCTCATGGTCTGGGTAGCTTGCACATCTGAGGTAGCATCATTAATGCTGAACAATATATAAAACTTTAGGAGCAACATATGCTGCCATCCAGACAACGTCTTTTTCACAGGAGGCCTTATATATTTCAGCATGACAATGCCAAACCGCTTTCTGTGTGTATAATGTATCAGGAAATGAAATCTACGACAAAGGAGACCCCGGACTGTTGAGCAGTTGAAATCGTATATCAGGCAAGAATGGGACAACATTTCACTTCCAAAACTCCAGCAACTGATCTCCTCAGTTCCCAAACGTTTACAGAGTGTTGTTAAAGGAAGAGGTGATGCAACACGGTGGTAAACACGCCCCTGTCCCAACTTCTTTGAAACAGGTTGCTGGCATCAAATTCAAATTGATTCATATTTGTCATAAAACAATAAAAATTCTCAGTTTCAACATTTGGCTTTGTCTTTGTTAGATTTTCAATTAAATATTGGTTTATATGATTTGTGAGTCATTGCATTCTGTTTTTATTTACATTTTACACAGCGTCCCAACTTTTTAGGATACGGCGTTGCATTTATCAGCCCTGTATTATGCAGTATGGAAGGGTTTAGCCTACAGGGTATAAACTGGTTTAATTCTTCTGGGCAATTCTTCAGACGAGTACCAAAGATTCTCATGGCAAAGATAAAACTTCTTTTACTACTCCTTTTTTTATTGGCACTCTTTTATATCCCTCTTGTTTCAATAGCAAAAGTTGGGTATGTCTACCCAGTGCCACAAACTACCCAAGTGAGTCTTAAGCGCCATCTCACTTGATCAATCCTCTTTCATTAGTAACTCCTTGCACTAGTCTAGCAGAAATAAAAACAGACAACCCTAGTCGCTTTACTCCAAACTTGCCTGAAGGATGATATGGTTATAGGCCAGCTGAAATAACATCACTCACCTCTCACATGACTCTCAAAGAAATAATAAGTTATCACGCTTTAAACTAGTTTAAACTATTTTAACAATATGATTGTAAAGTATCGCATATAATTTAGATTTCCAATAGATGTGTTGGTGATGTATGGGGATTAGGATTTAGGATTGAAGCTTTAGGGTTTAGTGGAACACTCACATAATCTAAATTGATTACTGTGGCTCTAGTTTTTAGCTGGTAGAAGAATTGTTGCTTTACTATGAACTATTCATTTTGATGAAAATGCCAATGGTTTAAATTGTACGGCAGCTCAATTTTTCCACTTGTTTAACCAGTTGGCAAGGTTGAGTTAAAGATGTATGTGAAATAATGTATCGTGCCGTTCTAGGGTGCATAAAAGTAAACGTAATATTTCCGACACTGCGGCAGCTGTGTGAGGAGTCTGGGCCTGCTATGTAAGTTGACAGCATTTTAGTCTCCTTGCAATTACTCAAACGGTGTTGGCACAAATGGATGGGCTGCTTTTAAATCAAATTGGTCGCAAATGGAGCCATGTAATTTTAATGCAGTGACAAAATATTGGATTTAGACACCTGTGCTAAGTTCTTTTTAATGAAAATCGTTTTTTTCTCCCTTTTTTTAAAAAATGTATGACATAGAAAACAGACTTATTTTCAGACCCTGGGGTATAAATTATTTGGCCGATACCTGATGTTAATGATCACCGAAGGCCATTCAAAGAATAACATGGAAGTCCTGGTTAATTTCAATAGGTATCTGTGAACCTTTTTCCTGTATAACATGTGTTTGTTGTCTGTGACCTGTCAGAGTGGTGTGATCTTCTGCGCAGAAGAAAAGGATCTCAGTCTGAGAGATGCTTGTCTTGCCGCAGTAAACGTAATGCGAGTGCTTGAACTTTCCACGGAAAGTTGGCCGTCATCTCAAGCATGCGTGATCCTGATTTCCCTGGCATCCGTCGAGTATGAACATTACCCTGACAATATGTGTGCTTTTTTCAAAAAAAGAAATCAATATTATACACATGATTTTTAACAATCTGAATTTCTGGGTAGAGAATAAACTAATTGCAGTGCTAAATTATGAATACCTCCATGCTCTTTTTATATTCATTTTTTGCATGTCAATATTGTCGTGAGCCTTTTCTCACTTGTACAACATATTAAAAAGAATGACTGTAACCTGAAGCTAAGAATAGCTTTATAATCCCAAATTATCACCCAGACTGAAACTTCTGTATTCCACAGGAATACATTACGGAACATATTAGCCATTTTATCATTCTATTGTTTACCACAAAACTTCACCCGGTCTTCCACAATCATAATCGTTTGCAAATATTTTGAACATATCTCTTTTTTCCAAGCTACGCTTGGTATGTAGGATACAAAGGATTTGCATACAAATAAGAAATATAGTACTTTCAGGATTACTATTTGAACATAATCTTATTTTGCTTGGTTATGGATGCATAGAGTAGAAGATAAATGTAGCTCTTCTGAAACAATTATGTTTTGAGGAGGATTTTGAGACAAAAAATGTTGTCCTTGCTGGCATGTAGTTTAACTTGGGCTGGGGGGCCTAGGTGTACCATTGGATGGCATCTGTGAGGTTCTTTTTGTAGAACCTCCCACGGGTGAACTTGTCCCCTATATAGGAAGCCTTGAAGTGATGGTTCCAAGTAGGAGGGACGTCATTAAGTGTCTCCACTGTACGGCTGAGGACAGCAGGGTTGTCCGGCAGCAAAGCTACGGTCAAACGAGCCTGGGAAGAACCCCCCCTGTGGCCCTCACTGACTATTCTTCATGTCTCTGTTTTATTTGCTGCCCCCTGTAGGCTTGGGGTGGTCTTCAGAGAAGGAGCTGGGAGTTGTGGTCTGACATCTAGGGAGGGGTGAGCTCGGTGCTTACTGGGGCATACAAGGGCTACCAGAATGAGCACTAACTCCCCAAAGGTGTCACCTTGTTCCAGGGAGCACAAAAAACAGAAACCTGCCCCCCTCCCCCAGCTTTCCTACAGCTGCCCTCCATGTATCCAGAGCACAGTGTATCATGCTGACGGGGTTTGTGGTGCATTTTGAGTTGGGGGAAAGCTTTGAAAAGTACATTACGGACATATTTTGGTTCGTAGTCATAAATTGCGAGGTGTCATTTCTGTACAAAGGAGTGTTCGTGTAAACAATGTACTTTTTCTTTCTTTTTCAGAGACAAGGCACCGGGGCATCAAGTGCCAACAGCAAAGCAAATGAAGGACAAGGTAAAGGATCCAGTGACCGCTTGGATAAGTGTGCCGTTCTGGAAATTTCCACTGCGCTTTAAATCCTTTCAGTTACAAAATGAGTTCAGCCTAACTTCGTGAAAAGGCCAGTGCTGAGACAGCCATTGAATTTAAAGCATTTCCGCCTGATAATTACCCCAGTATGACTCTGCACTCCAACACGTTTCTTGGGCTTCGTTCTGAGAGCAATAGCTGCACGTTTAGCATTTCCGAGGAGGTCGTGCTCTAAACTCGTCCTGAGAACATCTCCATAACAGCTCTGACTGCTGCGACACGCAGGACGCTGGATCACTGAAGCGTAACCTTGCTTTTCCTGATGATGAACGCGGCAGCAGAACGAAAGTCACGCTGCAGCCTCACCTCCGAGACTCTTGGCTTATGGGCCAACAGAGTACATCAGCTAGCTGATTACCCGCTAATATAGCAGATTATGGTGACTCATCTGGAAATGGGCAATCTCAAGTGAGCGTAGGTGCATTATAGCCACAGCATAATCGTGCACTAGTGACAGGTAACCATACACAATCAAGATATCATCTGGGCCAGGCCACTGCAAATGTTTTGCAAACAGGAGAAGAAACCATTGTAAACACTGCATTTTTGTATTATCTGCACACAGCCAATTCTGGTCTCGTATGCCTGTGGTAAGCAGAATGGAAAGCACAGTGATCTTATGTTTTATCCAGGCTCTTGTGAGAATAGCAAGGTAAGCTCTTTGAACATGCAACAAAAGAACATCAGGAGTCACTGCGAAGGGGATGGTGGCAAGGTGACAGGCCAGATGTGTATGTGAAGATGCTCTCCAGGAAGTAACTCTCAGAACTAAGCCCTCACACCGACGGCCAACCAAGAATCTTATGGTTGAGTGCTTCAACATGGATGTCTCAGGATTGTAAAAAGCTGACTCCAGATGACTGAAGTTACTCGCTAAGACAAGACAGATGAAATGCAATAAACGCAGCACTGATGTACCGCAGCAGTGTGCTGTAGGCACTGTGATGCATATGGGCCGGTTGTGTGTAACTTTTTCCCTGCTTAATGTTTACCTGATTTCTTTACAACATCAACCAGACAAATGCAGTTGCTAGCAATATATCACATTTCATGCATACTTATAAATTACAGCCTGCAAGGTACCAAACGCTCTGCCTGGCCAATTTCCTGGTGGATTTGTAGATCTGGGCAGGAGGATGTCATTTTTCCTGTTTCCTCAGTGTACTATAACACAGTTATATATTTGGCCCATGTGACTGTACTGTGATCTATGAAATTTATGATGCTTCTATTGCATTTCCAGAGCTCTTAGAGCTGCCATGATCTTTGCCAGCAGATCCGTCTTAGTGATCACTAATGACACAATTTATGGCATGAATGCAACGGTCACACAAGCCATGCAGTACAGTTTGAAGCATTGTAATGCTTGGCCAAGCACCGGATGTGACCCCGAGCTCTGCAACAAATAAATGAATAAATAACATTCAAAATTAAAATGAAAACATTTTATGCTTCACTTCAGCCCGTCTTCCTGGATAAGCCATGTTACCTTTTTCATTTTTCAAAAAGGTAGAAAGCATAAATGGAAAGAAAGCTTCGGCTTTCAAACCGTTCGAATGCCTTTGGTGGTGACCTTGGCCATTAAACTACAGCTTGAAACATGCTGGACAAATTGTTTCTCCAGCATCATCAGTCCTCACTGTAACACCGCAGAGGCACCGTGCTCTGCTGAGGCTTATCGAATTGCTTAGGTTCCTGGCAGCCAGTGGCCAATCCGGAGCCGCCTTTTAGTGCCACAAGGAGATACGGCAGAAAAATGTGTGTTCGGTGCCAGGGCGACCCGCACTGCGGAGGAAACGGGACGCTCCACTGGTCACCACATACTGTACTATCCATTTTCAAAGGATTCTCACTATCGTCATTTTACTTACTTGGCACGTGATCATAGAATAAGGTGACCACCTAATCCATGTCAGGAGGGACCCTATGAACTACTTCAGGTTTTACAAACTTCTTTAAAACTGAAAGGCTCCTGTACTTGGCTAAATAGTTCAATTCTTCTTCTGCTTTTACTGGTTTGTTTCCTTGATTGAAAGACTCATCCATCCAGCTGTTTCACATTAACATTAGCGACGTGTTCATGATTATAGGAGACTGACCAACCAGCACACAGCAAGAACTCAGTGCTTAAGTGAAATCCAGGTGTATTTAATTGAAATGGTAGTTTACAAACCCTGTCCTAGCTTATAGTGTCTCCCAAGACATGGATAAGGTGGTCGGCCTATCATAGAATGATACAGATCGAATTTCAGATCCACCATCCAGCCACGTATCCTGGTGATGGTCTCCTGCAGCCGATCCCAGACAGCAAAGGGCATAAGGCAGGGTTAGACCCCAAATGGCTGTTCACTGCAGGGCTCCACCCCCCTACAGCTGGGGAGGATTACGGACCTCCAGCCCTGAACATGTGATGCAACATCACTGCCCATTGAGCCACCATACTGCCCTAACTCAGCCATGACTTATATATCCAGTCATCCATCCATTTACCATAATTTAACATATTTATTCAGTAATGGGTTATAGGGACCTTGGAGCCCATCTCTGGAAGCACAGGAAACAAAGCAGTAGATATGATGATAGGATGATATCATATAAATATGATCATAAAAATCTGTTTCATATGATATGCTGTATTTGTGATATATGTTAATAAATAGAAAAGCAGAAACGTTAGTAAACTACAGTTAGGCTACAATTCCATGGCCTGATTGCAGTCTTTAAGTGACTGTCTTTAGTAGCGTCCCAATTAACAGTCGTGTAGTTGTTAACGACGTGTAAGTTAATGGGGAGTCGTGGCATCATACACAAAAATCATACAAGCAGTGCAAGTTAATAGATGCAGACATTTGATTGACAGGTATGTAAATAGTTTCTTCTTTATTCTTCCTTTGATTGACAAGATTATTAATGATCCTGTGGTTTATGAGCTAGCAAATTACCAGCCCCTGTTTGGTTAATATCCAATAAACTGCTTCATATATTGGATTCCTCTGGGACTTTGTCGATTCTGCAAAAATTCTAAATCAGTTCGGCATTCGACCTTCAAGAGAGACACCCTTATGGGAGATATTGCCTTAGCAGACATTTATCTATACATTCCTCTTATAATAGGGCAAAAAAGACTCGTCCCACTCACTTCTGGAATATTACATGGATTTTAATTATACTATAAAACAAGGAAATGTTACTTGTGCGGGAGTCAATGCCATGAGTCAAAAAGTAACTCTGACGTCAGATTCGAACTAAAATCGGAGTTAGCTCCTCGTAAAGATGATTTCAGCCGTCCTGTCATCTTATCAGGACTGTGGCTGTAGGTGGAAGTATGTGAAAAATGAAATGAATTAAGCTGTGCTCTATTTGCCTTTTGCAGAAGCACGGCTACATTGGAACTGGGTGGTTTTTGCATCTCTCCTTTGGGACACACGCTCTCATATACACAGTTAAGAGTGATTCTTGGGGTCGCAGCGCAGGGTCGGGCCATTTATCTGGGGGCCCAGGAGCATGTGGGGGGTGTTAAGGGCCTCGCTCAAGGGCCCAGTGGACATCTGACAATTCTTCCAAGGTCGGGATGTGTGTTATGCAGAACTGTACAACACATCCCTTTCAAACCCTGTAACATTTTTCATAATATTTTATCCTGTTTGAGCTGCCTGTTGTACCCCTGGGCTAGAAAAATTCAGGCATTAATCTAACTAAAGGTATGAGGATGTGATAATGTGTTACTGTTTGCTGATAAGAATCTGTCCACTTCAGCATGGATTTCAATGTATTTTATCCTAAGTAGTGTGTCATGATCCGCTCCGTCCGCTCCTGATGTGTGCCACGCCCACCTCGTTACCTCGTGTTCAGCCCTAATTGTGATCGCCTGTGTCCTGTTAAGTCTAGCTTGTCTCTTGTATTTAGTCCACGTTCCCGTTTGTATCCCCAGTCCGGTCATTGACGTTGTGACGTTGTTTTGTTGTGTGCTCTGTGCTCTGTGTTTTGGAATTAAACTCCGTATTTCCCGATCCCTGGCTTCTGTTCGCCTGCTTCCCCGCGCCGTGCTACACACGCCGTGACAGTGAATTACATTTGTCTTTGTAATATTTGTGGGATCCAGGACAATTCTCCCAAATCCAATGCACGATTCACCATATTTGTAATATTGAAAATGACTGACTTGAAAAAATAAGCTTTAATCTTAAAAATAAATATAAAAAAATGAAAACATGTTATTATACATACAAATATGATAACTCCACTAAGTCCCAAAATCTTGCTGACAGAGTGCCTGTAATTCCTAGGCTCCACTTTTCGAGATCAAACATATTGTAAACTATAATTAGTAGTGGAACAGCTCACGTTCTGAAATGAGATGACCCACTTTTGAATGTTTTTTTTAATTAGCTGTACATTTAACTTGTGTAAAAATCCCATAACCGTTGGATTAATTAGTCTAGTTTTCCACAGTATCCTTCCTCTATGTTCTCATATTTGCATGATAATATATTCCTTCATTGGAAGCTCTTCATTATATTGTAGTAAGTGATACCACTTGCTTGTACAGCTCTGCAATCCTTCACTGGAAAAGTAATGGACAGACATGCTTGCGTTACTGTCCCCTGCACCCCAGCCTATCTAGGGTAGGTCCTAAGCCAGGGGTGTCAAACTCCAGCCCTGGGGGGCCAGAGCCCTGCACGGATTTTGGTTCACCCTCATTTAACACACCTGATTCAACTCCATGTGCTAATTACAGCACAGCTCTTGAGCTGAATCATTTGTGGTAGAATAGGAAAGAACTAAGCTACACAGGACTCCGGCCCCCCAGGACTGTAGTTTGACACCCCTGCCCTCAGCTAACCTTTACATATAACCTTTATATATATTTTATATGTGTGGCGAATATATACACATATATTATATATACACATAATAAAGAGGAAACACCGTTTTTATCTAGATCAAAGAGATCATGCTTAGGTACTTTATGAGTTGCAGTGCGATTGCTTGTTTTTATCTCCTTCTCTAAAAACAAATAAAACATCCACCCATAAGGGGGGGGGGGGCTGATACCACACTCCTTATTGATCTGGCAGCTCTGTTTAGTCTCTCTTCTTCTTCACTGGCTTCACTTCAAACAGCTTCAGAGGCACATCAGCTGAATCGGGAGGTCAGTGATATTTGCCTGACCTTCATATCCACCAGGACCCCCCACCTCGCGCGGGTGTTTGATTTGGTAATGTGGTTATGGTGGGAGGTTGCCTGCTCTATCTTTCCCCTGACTTGGCCCCTGTCTCATTAACAGTCATTAGGTAGCCCGTCTGCTACATGCAATCCCATTGAGAAAAAGAAAAACAGCAAATACCAGCCTCAGTCGAAGATTTAAATATTTGCCGCGGTGTCCTTGTTTGATGAGGGCCAGGGAGCGTCCCTCTTTGGCCGTTAGCTCATGTTCCTGCTGCTTTTCCATTCATGGAGACAGGACGCTCTGGCCACCCCGAGCACATGGCGCTGGAAAGGAATCACATGAGATTCTAATTCATGACATCATCTTTTTGATTATTCATTGGTGATCGCCTTAGCCACTGAGCTCATTGCCAAGCCAGCAAAATGTTTTTTTTTGTCCTCTAAAAACCAAATTTTCCTCTGAGCAAACCTTGAAATACATTTTGGCAATTTATACGTAACCACCCGGCAATGAAGCAGGTCTGTTTGACTGTTACAGTAGAGGTGGTTGGTTGAAACAAAATCTTGGTCTGGATTTTTACTTTCTGGACCCGAATTGTCCACCTCTGGTGACTAAGTGAGTCTATGTAAAAAATAACATTCCTTTGGACTGCAGGAGGAGACCCATGTGATGCACGTAGAACATGCAAAGTCCATACAAAGCAGATGCACCGATCCAGGATGCCACCCTCGTTTACGTTTTGGCAATGAAAATGAGAATAAAGAACAACAGGAAACCTATTATAATATTAATTAAGAGGCGCGAACAATGTTCAGCAAGAGTCAGGTCACGTTAAACAAATGGCTCTTTTCACACTTTTGATCAGGCGATTGTTTTTTTGTTTTCGGGCCTAAAAACGAGCCTCGATATTTTGGAAAGTTGTTGCAGGAAATACTGTACAGTTCTTGTGTACGATCACGAAGAACTCCTTGTACATTGCCCTGAGGCTTAATATGAAACTGAAATGCAAGTACACCCACAGACCTCAAGGCCAGGAGTTAGGGAAGACGCTTCTTTTGGAAACAGGAGAAGGCGACTCCGGCGGCTAAAACTCGATGATGAAACCACCTTTCCTTAAGTATCTGGAAAATTCAATATCAGTGAATGTAGCTGAATCTGGCTGCGACACTGGCATTTAACCCTTTCCTTTCACATGGGGATGGAGTTACTCTGTGCTTAAATCCATCTATCCATACAAGTTGCACGACCTCAGATTCAGTACAGGGTTACAAGAACCCTGGACTTCCTCCCCTCAGAGCACAAGGCAGGGGATACCGGTGACCAAATTTGCCTAACTAACCTATACATATTTACTTCAACTTCCTTCATACAGTGGACATCTGACAATGTGTGATATTTGATGTATAGACCCATATGACACTGGTACACAAA